GCTGCCAAAAGCGCACAGAGTGGTGTCTGGCGGACCCAAGATAAGAAGTGAAAACTGTTCTAAAACATTTTGTCTACCAACAGTGATGGCACCAGTGCACTACTGCCACCATAACAACTACGGTGTGCTGTAGTGGTTATGGTGTTTTGTCAAGGTGACCAGATCCACCATGTTTTCTCTGACAACATGAATTCAGAAGAATGGGTATTGGATTATGCAATTAGGAAATAAAGAATCCTGCAATTAAGCAATTAGGCAGTAGGCAATAATGCAGAATGTGCATTGTACACACTGCAGAGCAGCCCTTTTCATGCGTTTTCATAAATATGAGAAACTTATATGTGTCTCTGTAAACATGGTGAATCTGGTCATGTTCCTTTAAATGAAGAGGTGCGACTAGTTTTTCCTGCCTCTGTGCTGGAAATTGTTTAGGAATTTAGCCTTTTATCATAAGTTTTGATTGCAGTAGTATATAGCATAGATTTCTCTCTAACTCAACTTCTAACACAAAGACGTCAACAAAAGGAATGGCTTATTCCATAAACAGATTGTAGCAAGCTGAAACCCGAATAGCAAAATTTGGGCTAAAATACCAGATTTTTTTTAAATATTCTTCAATGCAGCTATAGTCACAACTTGGCTATTTTAACCTAATTTAATTTAGTTTAAAATCCTGCATGAGAGACAGAGGTGTATAATGCACCCTCACCTCAAATTGCTTCCCATGGTATTACTATATCTAAAGACCATATATTGTCAAATGCTCGATGGACACATTCAAATGAATATTTATGGAAAACAATAGAAAATATTTAACATGATGTGTTTTTTTTTTTTTATCAAATAGTAAGCATTTTGCACTTGCCTTAACATGTTACCTTACCCCTCATCTAGTGGTCTGTGTGGTTTGCTATTAGACAGATCTCATCTGCCTTTTCTCCAGTATTCTGTGAGTATATGGCATCATTGCAATAGTCTGCTACTTGTGGTTGTTTCCTGATCAACTAATACTTAGCTGGTATGATAAAGTAACAAAAATAGATTTAAATATAAGAATCTTCTTTTCTCCATTTTACCCCCCCACCTCAGCCTCCTTATACTTATTTCTTTGTTTCTTTTTTTTAAATTATTTATTTTTCTTGTGCATAGTTTGACATAAAGCATGCAGAGCCACAACAGCATCTACAAGTATTTCCATGACATTTCAAGGTGTGACAGTTTATACGGCACATTTTTTATATTACATGAAGACATCAGACTATTAGACATCATTTTTGTGGTATGACATGCATAGAACAGAACTAGTTGCGTTTAGGGTTATAGGTGTGCAGCTTGGGTGTAGTGTGACACATAGGCATTAAGAGCACAGTGATTCAATTAACTAGATGTGAAGCTAGCAGAGGTAACAGTGTATTATGTAAAGCAGGCTAGTTGTTTCAATGTATGCCTATATTGCGCATTAAAAATAAAAATTAAACGATATGCTTGACATCAGCATTTTGTAATACAACATGCTAGGCTATATAAGCATATAACAATTCTTTGTTGAGGAGGAGAGCGTTCATGCTAAAGGCACTGGTTGCACGGTTTTAAGTGTGGGAATAGACCAACCGCGTTATCGCTGGTTGTAAAACAAGCTTAATTTGCCACCGTAGATAAGACTAGCTAGTAAAATAATACGGTTTAGGTAAACACATGCAGGCAACCACGTTAAGAACTCTGCAAGGGGTGAAATGGTGGCAGTTCAAAAATTGGTACATTACATTTAGCAAGTATGCAGGGATCAGTTCTTGTGTAAAGAGGCATGGTGGGGAAGTCCAGCTGTAACAAGGTGTGCCTGACAGACCCTGATCCACTGCCTGTGCTCATCCGATCCCTTCTGGGTGCCAAACGCTGTCCTTGAGAGCTCTTGGCGCCTGGGGTGTCAGAAGCTCATGTGTGGCTAAGTGCCAGGCATCCGGCATGTGGCGGCGTTTCCCGCGGTTGTGCAGGTCAGTGAGGTATTTCAGGCCTCTGGGCTCCGGACTTGGCATGTGGGCCCTCGCCGCCTACTCAGCCTTGCTCATTTGTCTTTAACTTTTACATAAAAAACTGTGTGGACATGTGTTACACTACACTCAGTGTTGTGTGACTTGGATTCATTTGCAAAGTCCACCGTCAACAACAAAGCTGCAGAGCAGAGTGTAACTTGTAACGGCAGAGGGAAAGAACATATTTTGTTATGAAATGTATGTCATGTTGTCCAAGATGGTATAGATATGAAAGAGGACGACTGCGTGTTTTAAGCCCCCAAAAGCTTTGAGCTGTAGAATGGTCCATTTGGGATTTACAATAATTTCCTCTAGAGATAAATGTGTATCAAAGGTTTTTGCAAGCAATAAATCTCTTTTGCAGAAGAAATTCAAGGAAAGTAAGTGGAAGACTGGAAATTTGGAAAAGTGCCCTTTTTTAAAAAGTGGTCTAATGTATTAAATGTGTGGCATTCACCATGAACCAGCAGGAACATTCTATTAGGAACTTATCTTTTATTTTCCATTTTTGCACCATTTTTTAGAACAGACTAATTGATAAATCTCCCCCCACTGTGGACACATTTTATTTTTACAGATCTTGCCAGGCTCAGGCAATCTATATTTTTTTTTTGAATCAGGCTGTGTGTGTATTTTTTTTAATGAAACCATTCTATCAGCATTACAGCATTACATACTATTTAATATAAGAATCACATAACTATAGAGCGAATGTTTAAATACGTATTGTTCCATATATCGACCATGTAAATTTTTTCAATTTATAACTCAATATTCATGCAAAGCATGAATGATTAGTGAAGTATTCCTTCCCTAATCTTAATATATCAACACACAAGCTTTTACTGTATGTAAAGTCAGAGGTAAATATATCTACGTGATACGATTATCTTCTATCTTCTGAGTAAGCATATCTCCCAGAGTAAGAGTTTGTTTGTACAAGCATATCTGTTTTTTGAATAGCTAGTGAAACAGCATTGATTTTCTTCACTAAATTGAGACTTGTGGAGAATTGACAAAGAAATTATTCACAGATTATTTTGGGCCAAAATAAAAAAAAGAAAAATGATTTTAAGACATTTTCCAATTCAGACATTATGGACAAAAATGTATATTTACCAAATGTTCTTCTTTTATCCTCTCAATTTATTATTAAGCTTTCATTATTTGAATTTAGACTACTGTATACAAATTTTAGATAACATTAATACTTATTATAAACACTTATAAAGCATTGAAAAGGGCTCAATTAATCATAGTTAATCAAAAAATAATAAAAGAAAAAGGAAATAATTACCTATAAGCTTGAACATACAAGAACTGCACTATGTCGACCCATCCTACAAAAGGAAGAGCCTCTTCAAACCATCCACCTACATGGTTTTATTTCTTATTTTGTAAGCCTCTGTCCAGCAACGGTGTATTAGAATGGATGCAAAGTAGGTTGGAACTGGATTTTGTGAGCTGTTGACCACACATGGTCACAGCTGAGGCTTAGGCTCTCTCCAGGGCCAGAGAGGAAAGGAGATAGAGTCTGTCCAAGTTGTGCACACACAGAATGCACACGGCAGGAGTTGGATGGCATAAAAGGGAAGTAAAACTTATCCATTTGCATTACTGATATAAAGGACAACCCTGTAATGCAGTCATTTTTTACAAATCACTGCTGTTATAAGTTACTGTGAGCAGAGTACCTTCTTTACCATAACATTTATAATTAGGGATTATTCTACCGTCGGTGGGGGAATAATCTAAATTTTATTAAAGACAGGAGGCGAATATTTGCTTTACGTTCTTTACTGAAACCTCCAGCAGCAAAGAAAAAGTTAACATAACTTTTTTAAACAACCAATCAGAACAACATAACAGCAGTATAAAACCACTTAGGCAGACCCTCCCACTTCCTCTTTCTTTGATGAGGTCGAGCAGGAGAGCAAGGAAACCAACGAATCCACCTTGTAGCAGGCACTTCCAGAGAAACAATCATCAAAACCAGAAGGAAAACAGGTTACACTGCAAGAAAAAATAAACATCGTGAAAGTAAACTGTCAAAGCAAGATGCCATTGCCATACAATATTACTTCTACATCATAGTACATGATGAATAAAATGCACACGGACAATCACCACCGTATAATAGAAATAATCTTTATTATACAAGACCATACATTTACAAAAACATAACAATATCCCCAATTAATCATAAGAGAAGAAAACCAAATTACAGGAAGGGAAACATAAAAGGGGGGGAAATATTTGCATCCTAAAATTTAGATTATTCCCTCACCGAGGCTAGAATAATCCCTAATTTTATGGCAAGACAGGAGGCTTCATATTTGCAATTTTAACGCCCAAACATAAAAACAGAAGAAACATGAGATCGAGGACAGATATAAAAGGAATGGAAAGTTGATTCCCTAGACCAATCGGCAGTGAAGAGAAACATACAGTAGGGACCAACCGGCTTCTAGAGCTGCTGAAGCTGCAGTTCCCCTGAACCAAATGTGTCCCAAAGGAACTTACAATGCCAGCCGATGAGAGAATCCACCAAAACCAACGAGCGCAAGAAGGTGCAGAAACAGCCCTAAGCGGTCGTACATAGGAAATCAACAGCTGCCAATGAGCAGAAGGACAAAAGGACAAGGTCTTGGATCAATACGTCCGTAGGCAACGTGCCATACAGACACATGGCCTATCTGGAGAATAGGGATACAACACATAAGACGAATAGATTTGGTGTTGCGCGGTATAGAAACAGACACACCGTCTGGTGAGAAGGAAAAATATTCCACATCAAAAGCACGAACATCACAATGCGACAAAAAAATACAAGACCTAACAGGAGAGCCCGCTAAGCGGAAAGCTGGCGCATAGACAAATCCTCGTCATCAGGCCACTCCTCAAGGAAACACAGAACAAGTGATACATCCTAAACTGAGGAATAGCAAGAGGTAGGGGTCCCGAAAGGCGTACCCCTCAAAGTAGTCTGCAGACCAAGGGGTCCTTACCAATGCCAGAATCTTGAGAAGGCACATGAGCCGTCGAGCTAGCTGACTTAAGACGTAAATAGTCCCATACAACTTACTGTGAGAAAACAATTCAGCCAGGCAGTATAGGACAGCCGTAACAGGGGCCATAAAGGGATCCAAACCTCTCTCCAGACACCCGCCATGCCAGGATCATCAGGTGTGCAGGTATGACCCCCTAGTGCCAAATGCCCAAGAGTCCCGGAGGAACTATCTAACCGTTGTCGATAGGTCTGACACATACCAAGACATAGTCCAAGCCACTAGTGGTAGGCCATCCTCTAATATCAATGGATGTGGATTCCTTTGTGGATCCCGTAGGAGACACCTGGAGTAGTAGAGGGTCTTCGCACGACAACTCCGGCAAGAGAGGGAACCACGGTTGACTCCTCCAAAGTGGTGTGACCAGGAGAAATTACACTTCCAGGAGTTTGGTCTGATGCAATGTCCGAAGTAAACAGTAGAAAAATGGGGAAACGCATATGCCCCCGAGGGAGGCCAGTCTTGGAGAACGCGTCCACCACCTCCCTGAGGGGGTCTGGAAGCCAACTAAAGAACCACTCTGTTTGACCATTCGCCCTGGATGCAATCAGATCTGAGTGAAGGAGAGGGGCTCGGAGTGAGTCCAGTATTCGAAACACCGGAGGGTGAAGTAGCCAATTGTTGGCATCTCTCCAGTGTCGGGATAACCAGTCCGCTGCATGATTGTCTCGTCTCGGGAGATATTCTGCCACAAGTGACAAATTCTTGTCTAGACAGTATTGATAGAGATCCTTCGTGAGATCCAACTGCAGTCCGTAGCGGACAGCCGGGATGTTGTCTATGCAGGGAGGCAGCGAGCAGTGATTCTTCCCCTGGGGAAGCTGTGAATGGCGAACGAACCTGCAATTAGTTCCAGACAGTTGATGTGAAGAGCTCTCTCCTCCGGAGTTCAAAGTCCTCCTGTCGCCCCGCCATCGCAAACAGCGCCCCAGCCCATAAAGCCAGCGTCAGATTCCAGGACGAAGTCTGATTGGGGTCCGAAAATCGCCTTGCCGTTCCAGGTCTCCATATGTCGAAGTCACCAATGAAGTTCTAGACGGGCTTCATCCAAAAGCCACATGACTTGGTCATACAAGGCCGAAGATCTGAGATAGCGAGCAATTTGTGCCTTGGAGTGTCTGATAGTGCAAGGTCCTGGAAAGATGGCTTCAATGGAGGATGACAACAGGCCTATCATCCGGGCCAGGTCCCTTATTGTGACCCGTGGGTTGTGGAGCATGCGTCTGATATCCTTGCTGAAGGCGGTCACCTTGGACATCGGAAGATGGCGCACTGCCTGAACCGAATATTCCATGAAACACAGAAACTGGACCGACTAAGAGTGAGTCATTTCCGATATTTCCACGTTGATGGCAGGCTTCCCTCAGATTCCCCTGATTCCAGGCAGGCTTCCCTCAGATCCAGTTGAGAGAACCAATCACCCTCGCAGAACAAGTCTCAGATGAGATGGGTGCCCACTATCTTGAAATGTCAATAGGTGACATATGCGTTCAGGGCATGCAGATTGAGAATAGGGCGGAAGTCCCCCGCCTTCCTCCATACAAGGGAGATAATGCTCAAGAAGTGAGGTTGGCCTGTCGCCCACTTCACTGCACCCTAGTCCAGCAGGGATAAACTTCAGAATGAACCGGAACGGACGTCTCTTTTGCCATGCGTATTGGCTATGAAGCGGTGATCTGTGTCTGAGGTTGGACAAAATTGATCTTGACTCCGGGCACAGTCTGAGAGACGTATAAATAGAAGCGTGTTGGTTCAACTCGTTCGTGAAGGCATCCCCGAAGAGCAGACCCAGTTCCTTGGATGCAAAATCTGCAAACTTGCTGTCCAGCTTGGAAGGGGCAGCTTTGCGGCATTCGGGGGATAAGGGGGTCTCAC